AGTAAAATATTAAATATCAAGTATTACATTAAAGATAAGATACTTACACTAAAGAACATCTTTCATTGGAATTCTTATCCTATGCATTTTATGACAGTTGTCTTGTTGTTCATATATCTGAAACAAAATTATGTTTATTGTATATAATATCTATTAACCGATCTGACAACGGACGAAAATGCAAAATATTGGTCTAACGATCACTTGTCGTCCAGCCAAGACAGAGAGGTGCGAGCGAACTCGCCGGTACAGTAAAACACCGCCTGACTAGACACTATTACAGTCAGCCTCTACGATGTCAACAGTCTACGATGTCAAACTATGTACATAAAACCATGAACACACACCTTCTTCGATGTAAAACCATGTAGATATAACCATAAACACACCTTCTTCGATGTAAAATTATGTGAAATAAGCGTCTACGATGTTTAAAATGTATAACTATGCTGTCACAGCCGTCAACAACAACAACAACAAAATTGTGGAATCAAATAAACTTTTGTTCCTGTCTTCAACCAGAGAAGCCGAAAACTTCCGTTTATCAATAGAATGTGTTTTTCTATGTGTTATATAAACTTTAAAACCACAGAAATACTGATGACAACTTCTTATGAAAATAGTTATTTGTGCGAGACAAAGATATCCAAAATAAATATCACATGAACATTTGCGAGAATCGTGCAACAGCAGACCGTTAATTTAATTATCGTTTACTCAAAAACTTTGCTACAAAGATGGAGAATTATATTTCTAGCATTACTTCTTCGTATTCTTAAATTCGAGACAATTTCTTTTAAAACGACGAAACAACAAGAAAAGTGTTTACAGATGTGCCGATAAATAATCGAATATAACTTTATCAAATTGTGTATATAAAGTCTACGTTTACACACATATACATATATATCAATTTAAAAGAATCTTCAAGAAAATCAAACATTTATGAACAATTATGAATGTCAATTTAAACTAAAACTTTAGAAAGCTACATACCGACGATTTGAAATTCTCGCCACGTCACGTCGACCAAGCCATACTGATGTCAAACATTTTATAGCGAGTACCTGTTACAAAAATATACACGTCACAGGAAGTGTTCAATGCGCATGCACAATAAACGTTTTTAACAGGAAATGAAACACGTGGACATTTTATCAATTGTTTTTACTTTATACTATTTTCTTACTTTTCGTATATTAATATTTATATTTTTTCTTCTCTTATCATACATAGAATTTGTTAAATTTTATACCTTAAAGTTCTTTTAATTAATCTTCTTAAAATATTTGTTCTTTGAAAATTGTTAACTTATTTGTTTGTTTTTATGTTTACTAGATCTATAGAAATAATTTTTTTTTCTCTCTTTTTTATGATGACATAAAGGAAATTTAATATTTATTGAAAAACCTATTAAGCTATAATATTTAACTTATGTTACTTTAATATATTATTTGTAGAATAACAGTTACATTAACTGATAAAAATATTTCGAATAGATTATCTTAACATTTAACAGTAATTACTAATTCAATATAAAGCATTTTTTTGCATAAAGATTATCTTAACATTTAACAATAATTATTTTTTTTACTTATTAAAAACATTACAAAATTGTTGAATTGTATAAACCCCAAAAGTAAATTATTTCTTACCGTACATGTTTCATATCCGAAAACATGTTGAAAATGACAAAAAAAATCTATTGACCGAATATTGACGAATATTGTTTCCTATGGCGTTTTTTTTCAAAATAAAGTAAGAAAAGGTCGTTAGATAACATCTCTGACCGGATATGACCTTAGGTGATTTTTTCATTTAAAATAAAGTAACAAAAGGTTGATATATAAAGGCCCTGTCACACTAGACAGCGCTTTTACTGCGTTTGCACGGCGTTGATAAATTTAACGAAGCGCCGCGAGATCGCAAGAAAAAACTGATATTTTTGATGACATGGAGACTTCACGGCGTCTTCATGGCCATTGCGCTGCTACGGAGCATCCACGGCGTTGCAATGCGTTTATACGGCGTTTTAATTGGCGATTGTCTGCGTTCGGACTGCACTTCCACTGCGTTCTTTTCGCTTCAATTGCACTTCCACTGCGCTTTCACAGCGCTCATACGGCGCTCTCACTGCGCTGAAATCGTGCTTCATATACCAACGATTACTCATTCTGAATAGTCGTGTACCTGCTGCACCTGCATGCAAGCAAGCAGTATTCTAGCTTGCTGCCGTTCATTATCCATGGTTTAAAGGACATTTACTTGAAAACAATCTGTTAAGACCACCAAAGGGACTGGACTAAAGTGGTCTTAATAGCGGTGGTCTTAATTGTGGATATAATTATCAAGGCATAAATAAATCATGACCACTCTATTTGAATTCTATTGTAGAAACATATTTAAACAATTATATTATAACATTCAAATATTACTTTAAACTGATGTTCTGATATTTAATTCTTATTAGAACATTAATCTTGAGATATTTAATAAATAGATTAAATTTTCATAGATTTTCTTTCATATACACAATTCACGCATTAATTTAGAAATAAATCTTCACAAAATACATGTGCAGAAAGTAACATTAACCAATCTGAAGTACATTTCTCACATTTATACAATTTTCCAATCATAACAGTTTTAACACATTGTTTTAAGTGTCATGCTTTAGAGAATTCAAGCAGATGAATAACAACAAACTTGTTATCTGAATAGGTATTGACTGGAATATAAGTGGTCTCAAAAGTGGGGTTAGGGATTCTGTATTTATCTATTTTATGGTCACATCCGTGTTATTTGTGCCGTGTGGCGGCTGTAAAAAGTCTCCCCGTACATTTAATCAATGATGTTATATTTTCGATCCTTGAAGATCGTTGAGCACGACATTATTGTTGTGCTTGTGGTATTTTTAGTTTCAACTTTTCGGCATTTTCTAGTTGGGTGGTTCCAATATTCCTACTTGAATAATGTTGAATCACCCTTAGGATATGTTGCCTGCTTTTTAAATTTGTCTTTTGACGTCTTATCTGTGATATGCAGGCTTCATAACCTCTGATCCCCTTTCAAAATTCCATTTTAATTAGTTCTGCCCATTGTTTTCTCGTTTAGGGCACACGCTTTTTATTAATTAGGGACCATACGCCGCTTTTCATGGAATGGCACGGAAGTGTCACATTGAAGGTTCCATGATAACCGCCGTATGAACACATCTGCGGATATTCTAAATTCAAAATTTTACTATTTCATGTTTAAATGTTGAATTCTGCTTAAGCCGGTGCTAGGGGGCGTGGACGGTAACTTGCACTTACCAGTACCGTCCATGAACAGGCTCAATCAAACCGAGCCTGCAACATTTTCAATTTTGTCGTGTTGGGCTTTCTTTAGGGATTCTGTATTTATCTATTTTAGGAATTTGGACTGAAAGTGGTGATCTTAAAAGTGGATCAGTAGGATGGTCTTAATTGTGGGTTATGTTACCATTAACATAAAGAACAGAACATTTCCTTCTTGTAAAGTTGGTCAAATAGAGGGTTGGTCTTAATTCCGGGGTGGTAGGGATTCTACTGTACCGTATTCTGTAATTTCAGATAAACGCAGTAGAATAGCCTTGAGTGCACAGTGGTCGCCGTGACAGTGCCGTAAAGTCGCAGTAAGAGCGTTTTAGAAAAAAATAAAGCTCCGTAAAAGCGCCGTACACACGCAGTATAAGCCCGGTAGGGACACCGCACAATCTCCGTACAAGCGCCGTGCCTAATAACGGCGATCATTCGCCGACCTTCTGCGCTTTCACGGCGCTCTTGTTGCGTCGTAGGAGATGCTTCTGAGTTGCTACGGCATCCTTACTGCGATCTTACAGCGCTCTTATCAGAACGCCGAGTGACGGCGTTTGTTTTGAGCATACTCAAAACGCGCGACGTCGGTCGGCGTTCTATGCGATGCCACTACGATGATGCGGCGATGTTTGCGATCTTACTGCGCTCACCTCGGCGTTCTGAATTTTCTTTGGACACCGTGAGAACGCCGCCCTAGTGTGACAGGGGTTTAACATCCTTATCTTTGGGGCAAAAACATAGATCTATGTTAAGTTATTTCAAAATGATTTTTTTGTTATATTTGTTGACAAAGAAAAAAAATATTTATAAATCTATGTAATTATCTTTTTTTAAATATTTTTTTATATGAAAGGGAGGAATTTGTCGAATAATTGATTGCACAGGTTAATAAGTCAGACTTAAGTTATGTAAAAGAATAATGGACACGGTTTTACAATATGTTTATATTTCATGCTGTGATGACAACAAAGATTTTAGTATAAGTGCATGTATTTAATTATAATATGAACTTGAAACATGACAAAGGTTTATGTATGTTATTTGACAATATACATGCAGGCTGGACTGGGTGGTAATAATATGTCAAAAATGATTAATGAGAGTTCTACATGTAACTCTAAACGCGTGCATGTATATGCATTATAAGTTGTCATTATTACAAGCTGTCATTATAAATACTGGTCTCAACGCCCAGTCTGACAGTTCGAATTTGATAGTTGACTTGTACACTTGTGTATCAGTAATAATAAAGTATGAAACATCTGTGAGTTCTCTTTCCGTAATACGACTATCCCTTGGAAGCATTTATCACAACCAAATTACAAGAGAATTGCAGACTCGGATTGATTGAGTCCGTACATGAGGGATAATAAATAGTTAAATACGTGTAGCATCCCTCACGCCCCAGCACCGGCATGAGCGGTACTTAATTCTCAACACCTAATAGTGCTGGCATCAATGATCCCGAAGGACCAGAAAAATCACAACACTGAAGTGAAGTATGGGGCAACATTTTACAGCTGCCACACAGCACTTGACACCCGCTGTTGAAAAGTGAGAGATATATTAATCAACAAAATAAATATAATATTGGCGTCTCTATCGTCGCCAGTGGTGGCATAAATATTATCTTTCTTCTGGAAAAATCTATTGATTATTTATACGAAAATCAAGCTATCGAGCAAACTTCTATCGACCATAAAAACGGTGCACTTGGTAAAAAATCAAATCATAATTTTTGTAAACGGTGTAGCTATACATTTATTCCAGTGTGTAGTAACTACATGTACAGTTCAAGTTCAACATGCCAGAATTTGATTTTTCCAATGACATTGAGTGGCCAACACTTAATGAAGTAAGAAATAATAGAATACCTTAAAATAATGTCATAAATGCCAATTTATCAACATTTCAGATTACTGATTTACAATGGTATAATATTTAAATAGAATGTTTCTGTGTATCATCACTGATCACATGTTCAAACTGAAAATTCCTCACTGAGGACCTCAGGCTCAGAGCACGCTCAGGCTCTGTCTGTTTCAAGTTCACCTCTCAACATCAGATGTTTCAAGATTACACCACAGGAGCCTGAAATTATATCAAAAACAAAAAAAATAACGATTTAAAAAAAATTCCCATATATATATACTATAAAAATAGTAACCAGAACGAAAATATCTCGTATAAGTTGGCGTGATAGCTCAGTTGGTTAGACCACAGACTGTCACTCCTGAGGTCCCCGGGTTCAATCCTGGCTAACACCCATTTGGATTTGAGACATTCTAACTAGAGGTGTACTGGTAAGAAATCCAGGTAATCCTCCCATGTACTAATACTATTAGTGCTATACACTGGGCATGTAAAAGAACCAAGGGGTCTATTCAATAATATATAGGGACTGGTTCCCGTATTCCCTTGTATCTCATAGCTTTCTTTAAAGTGACTAGTCTATAGTCATGTATACGTCCCTGCGAGGGGTTTGACATTAATGGAAGATAGATACTAGAATCTAGCTTTGGCATGTCAATATATTTTGACAACCCCCTGTATACTATAGCACCCCCTCCCCCCCCCCTTCATACACATTAGTGACACAATAGATATTGGCAGTTGTTAAAATGGTTTTTTTAAACAAATTTTACATATAATTATGAAAAAAATACATTTCACCATCAAGTCTCAATAATTAAGACTTGATGGTAGATCTTTTTGCTTACTGTACAGGCCTGTGCAGCTAGCCACTTCCAAAAGATTAGGCCTATAAACTTCTATATTACTAATGTGTTTTTTGTGTTTTTTTGCTTGTTTATTGGTGGGGGGGGTGAAGAGTGGAATTAACCTGTTAACAACAGACTCTTAAAGCTTACACAGTAGAAACATATGATGACTTCCAGGTACTTTTATTGTGAATTTGATTTCATTATGATTTACATTAGATAAATTTTAAAATTTTATTTTGTTCAGTCAGCCAATGGTAAGCTGGAGGAGATCAGTCGTCCAGAGACAAACCTAGTTGAAACTGGAGAAGATGAGGGGCAACAGGTGATTGAGGTTAGTACTTAGTAATATCTGCCATCTTAGAATTTTTATATAGACATTTTCAGATGTTCGTCTAGCCAGTGACCTTTGAAGTGTGAGACTTTGTACGCCCTCTATAAGCTTAATAACCAAACCATCTGTCTGCTTGTCCCTACCAGGATAACTTTAATTTGCAAATTGTATTTATTTTAAGTTCTACCTTTACCAATGACTTTATGATTTACACACTTACCTATCAATACAAAGTACACAATTTTGACAAGCAACATAACTGTGCCTTCCATTTTCATATAGTTATTACCATTTAAAGCACAATTAAATTAAGGCTTTTTGAACCTACTCAGGCAAGTTGGATAATGTCTTAAGTTTTATTTGTACCAATGTCTAAATATTTTGCACACAATAAATATAATACTGATAAGCTTTTATATAACCTGGTTCAAATTTTTTGTCTCAGGTATTACTACTGTGTTTGTTTGTTTGTGGGGTTTTTTTTGCTCGTTTAGTGGGTGGGGGGGGGAGGAATTAACCTGTTAACAACAAACACTTAAAGCTTACACAGTAGAAACATATGATGACTTCCAGGTACTTTTATTGTGAATTTGATTTCATTATGATTTACATTAGATGAATTTTAAAATTTTATTTTGTTCAGTCAGCCAATGGTAAGCTGGAGGAGATCAGTCGTCCAGAGACAAACCTAGTTGAAACTGGAGAAGATGAGGGGCAACAGGTGATTGAGGTTAGTACTTAGTAATATCTGCCATCTTAGAATTTTTATATAGACATTTTCAGATGTTCGTCTAGCCAGTGACCTTTGAAGTGTGAGACTTTGTATGCCCTCTATAAGCTTAATAACCAAACCATCTGTCTGCTTGTCCCTACCAGGATAACTTTAATTTGCAAATTGTATTTATTTTAAGTTCTACCTTTACCAATGACTTCATGATTTACACACTTACCTATCAATACAAAGTACACAATTTTGACAAGCAACATAACTGTGCCTTCCATTTTCATATAGTTATTACCATTTAAAGCACAATTAAATTAAGGCTTTTTTAACCTACTCAGGCAAGTTGGATAATGCCTTAAGTTTTATTTGTACCAATGTCTAAATATTTTGCACACAATAAATATAATACTGATAAGCTTTTATATAACCTGGTTCAAATTTTTTGTCTCAGGTATTACTACTGTGTTTGTTTGTTTGTGGGTTTTTTTTTGCTTGTTTAGTGGGTGGGTGGGGGGATTAACCTGTTAACAACAAACACTTAAAGCTTACACAGTAGAAACATATGATGACTTCCAGGTACTTTTACTGTGAATTTGATTTCATTATGATTTACATTAGATAAATTTTAAAATTTTATTTTGTTCAGTCAGCCAATGGTAGACTGGAGGAGATCAATCGTCCAGAGACAAACCTAGTTGAAGCTGGAGAAGATGAGGGGCAACAGGTGATTGAGGTTAGTACTTAGTAATATCTGCCATCTTAGAATTTTTATATAGACATTTTCAGATGTTCGTCTAGCCAGTGACCTTTGAAGTGTGAGACTTTGTACGCCCTCTATAAGCCTATTAACCAAACCATCTGTCTGCTAGTCCCTACCAGGTTAACTTTAATTTGCAAATTGTATTTATTTTAAGTTCTACCTTTACCAATGACTTCATGATTTACACACTTCCCTATCAATACAAAGTACACAATTTCAATTTTTTTTATTTTTTTTTTGACATGTAGAGATCACTTTTCCATTGTCTGTCCATCTGTCACAAAACTTGTCATGAGTACTCCTCAAAAACTACTGGTGCAATATCATCCAAACATAACAGGAATGATCATTACCAAGTGTAGTTTGCTGCACATTTTGTGCATATCGTCTGCATTTTTCAGTTCAATGATTTTTGTCAGAGTTATGGTCCTTTTCTGATTTTATTTTTAAAGTATGTCCGAACTACTTGTCTTATAATACCACTTGTGCAATTTCATTGAAGCTATACAGGATTGATATGTAGCTTTAAGTACTTGTGCACATTACACGGGTTTCCAGTGAATGATTTTTGGCCAAGTTATGGCCCTTCAATAAAAAAGGTGTAATTTTTGTGTTGCCAGCTACTTGTTTGGACTACTCCTCAAAAACTACTGGTTTAATTTCATTCAAACTTTATAGGAATGTCTTGTTGTGTACCTTGTTGACATTTGATTTAATGAATTTTGTCAGAGTTATGGCCCTTCAAGTATTTTAATTTTTAAAATTTGTCTGGACTACTCCTGTTATACCACTAATGCAATTTCAATGATACTTTACATGCATTTGGCTATCCTGAGGTGACACATCATCACTGATGGCCGTTGTTATTCAGTTATTACCCTTTAAATCACATTGAAATTAAGATTTGTTTTACCTACTAAGGCAAGTGTGATATGTCTTAAGTTATATTCATACCAATGGCTAAATATTGTGCACACTTTCTTACCAATTGATATTAGTTCAAAATAAATCTCCAATTAAAGTCCAATTTCATTCATAATTAAAAGGAACATTACTTTGTATTCTGGGTCATTTTAAAAAATTGCATCCTGGATCAAAAAGACAGTTCATCCTTAAGTTATATTTTGCACAGTTAAATCATTTTTTTGTCTTAGATATTCACGAAGCACCTGTAGGAAATTCTGCTAATCAGTTTCACAGTATAATGCTTTCTTTTCGACTATGATTTTGTCATTTTTTTAAGCACTGAGAAAAATGGAGCACAGTGCTCTTTGATCATCTCTTGTTCAGTGTAGTAATTTAAAAGAAAAATATGAGATTTAGTAACTATTTATGAAATGAAGTTTGTCTCTGATTTTGTAAAACACATGCCTCAACCATTATTGGAATAAGAAAGAATTTTATCCTAAAACTAAAATTTAGTGAAATAGAATTTGAAAAAAAATGAAAGGTACTGTTTTAATTGTATTTATTTTTCAGAAATAATCTGGTATGTCTTTTTTTTAAATTAAGGAATGGTGTCCAGTCTCTAAAAGAAGACAAGCAAGAAAGGTAATTCATTAACTTTTAGCATTTTTACGAAATATTCAAACTACACATGCACTTAAATATAACTAAGTTAATGTAGCAAAGAGTTGCCAACTTTTTATAAAATGGCCTTAACTTATGAATATTGTAAACAGTAATGTTTGAAAAAAAAATATGTTTTAACAACATGAAGATATAAAAGCAGCTAACAGAGAATTGGTGGTTCTACTCTTTAAATTTGCTTGTCTGCATCATTAGTTATTAAAAGCTTATTAAAAAGTGTTAAAGGCATTTGGTTTGAAAATGTGTTAGTTTAATTTCGTTAAAAACTGAAATTAGAGTCACCACAGTATTCTTGTTTTGCGATTTCCCTGACCATTACATGGTTCTTTTATAAATTGTCATGATTGGTTCAATTTAAACAAATTTTGCATAAACACATTCTCATAAGTTTTGATTATTAAGTGGTGATTAATTTTCTAATTCAGTTAATTGTTATTCATAGAAGTGATGAATCATATTATTTTTTATAATACTATTTAATATATTCTTTTAGAAAAGTGATATTAAACAATTTGCTGGGTAATAAAATTTTAATTATGTTATTTGTTTGACATTTGTTTTTTACTCTTGATGATATGAAGATGTATAATGCACATGCATAAATACTATTAATGATTTTTTTACAGACAAAGGTAATGTTTTTGGACATGTGAAATAATGTAATATTGTCTGTACTTGATAAGCTACAAAAAAAGCTTACGTTTAATTTTCTTAACATTCATTTCAGTATTGATAGAGTAATTCCCTTTACATACAAATTGCCTGTAAAATTGCTTCTTGCCTAGAGATTTGCAGTGTACACTGCCTTTTAAATAATACTATGTCAAGGTCATATAATACTTTGAAAGTACATGCATGTAATGATAATTCAGATGTAATTAAATGTTTCTACATTTTATTGTTCATGCATTTGAACAAATAGAAAGAATACCTTATTACCTGCTCAAAGATTTTAAATGATAAAAATGAACTTAATTACATGTTATATAGTTAAATTTTTTTAAAAACTTAATTCTTGACGATTTATGTTTCTACTTCCTTAAATAAAAAGGAAAGAAACAAAACATTTCCATCACACATGTGTACAAAAAATTGCATAGGATGGCTTTTTGAAAAAAGTTATCTATTTAAAGGAAATGTGCATCATATATCTTTCATATACAGTTAAATGTTAATAAAATGTTAACAGTTATTGTTGATAGCACTCCTGAAGGGTGTCATATATTTTTTTTAATTGTCTATCCAAGCTTTTTAAAGTAATTAGAGCTTAGATATTAAACATGAAACATCTTCTAGTTCAAATAAAAGCCCTGGGGTCAAAATTGGCCCTGCCATGGGGTCATTGATTTTCCTTATATATATAAATTAAAATTAAAAAAAATTTTTTTAAGAAAAACCCAAAGACCTAGAGCTTAATATTAAGTATGAAACATCTTCTAATGGGTGTCTGCCAAGTTTGTTCACATAAAAGCCTTGGGGTCAAAATTGGTCCTGCTGGTGGGGGGATGTAGGGGTCATTGATTTTCCTAATATGTATTTCGTAAGAACATAAAAAAGGCTTCTTTTAGCTTTGATATTTAGCATAAAACATCTTGTAGTAAGCCTCTAGTGTAAAGTGTGCTTTTCATGGAATGGCACTAACGTGTCACATTGAAGGTTCCAAGATAACCGCCATATCCGACCAAACATATCTGCAGATGTTTCTTATTTCAAAATTTTTACCGTTGAAAAGACAAGAATTAAAATCAACAAGGCAAAGGCAACGCTCACAGGACGCAGCCCCTGACACACCAAAGTAGGGCACCCAGAAGGCACCAAACCAAAACCTGGAGTGGACATAAGGGCAGTGAAAGGAGAGGGACATGAATTCTGCTTAAGCTGGTGCTAGGGGGCGTGGACGGTAACTTGCATTTTCCATTATCGTCCATAAACAGGCTCAATCAAACCAAGCCTGCAATATTTTCAAATTTGTCATTTTGGGCTTTCTTTAGAGATTCTTTTTCATCTATTCTACCAATTTGTTCTAAGAAAGCCCTGGGTTTAATATTGGCTCTGCACTGGGGGGTCATTGGTTTTCTTTATATGCATATAGTAAAAACAAAACCAATCTTTTTTTAAAAAACCTAAATAGATATTCTGACTCAGGTAAGCGATTAAGGGACATCATGGCCCTCTTGTTGTTGTTTTATTTCTGTTCAGTTTTACCTTTTTATCCCCCCACCACAAAATGTGGTTTTTCTCATATTTTTATAGTAATCTGGGATTCAACAGACATGAACTTAAAAAGCCATTTATAGTAATAATTTACATATATAATCGTAAGTTCTTAAAACAATATGATAATGTTAGTAAAATGTCAATATTTATCAACTGAAAAGTATCTTTTTCTACTAAGAACAGGCTATCATTAATTAAAAGAAAATCGCGGAAAAATATTTATAATTACTGTTAATCTTTATATCATATTAATTTATTGATAACGCATATATGTAGTTAAATGAAAAAAAATAGAGCTTGAAACAAATGTCTCATATTATATTATTTGGTCAGAACTGAAACAGTAGACCCGATGCAGACATCGAACATGCCGGATAGTTTGTGGACTGTTTACCGTCAGTTCTTATGTAGCGCTTGTTTCAGTTGACGTCACTAACGTCTTGTCATTTTCCCGCTATCATCCTCACCCTTTCCTGTTTGTGATCTTGTATATGTCGTTTTTGAATTCCTTTCGCAAGCTGAAAACGATTATCCTGAAAGTCGATTAATTGTACTGTGTTAATTTAATATTTTGGTATGTATCTGAAGGAGTATCGTAAATTTGTTGGCAAAGTTTAGCGATCGCACCCATTTGCAGTTCTTGAACGAACGTCAATTTTCTACATTTTACATTTTGACCACTGCTATTCAAAACTTGATAATTTAGCCAATTCATGTGTGAATGATGTCAAATTTGGGCATAATCTCACTTAAAAATATTCAAATGTGTTTGCGGAATATATGGAAAAATAGAAAATAAATTATGAATAAATCAGAAGTACAACTTAGCTTCAATAACTTTGTTGATGTGTTGCGCCGGGTCCGTGTTACCATGGTTATTCAATATCGCGGGAAACACGCGTTCATCACAAGAATTTGATAAACTTACACTTCAATCAAAGAAAAATTTTTACGATTGATGTTCATATATATATATAAGAATAATCTAAATTGAATGGAAAATAAAGATGCAAGACTCTTAGTCCTATTACTTTTGGAACAACCCTTGTACAATAACTAATTTTTCCCCATATATATGTTCACTTAATCAACGCATGAAATATTTGTTCATTTAAAATGCTAGTAATTATGCTGAACACATTTGCATAATTTTGCCAAATTTTCTGCTTTTCATAATATCATATTCAGCACTTGCTAAGCTGTATTTAAAGGTTTGGTAATATATATTGATATATGATATTGAATTAAACATTTATGTTTTAATTACAGATCAGTCATCATTAACAATGAGGGGACTTTGGTTGTTTCAAAACCAGGAGGATGTATATTTACAGTATGTTAATATTACTTCATTATTCCTATAACTTACTTTGTTATGCCCATGACATAAATTAATTGAGCCATTTATTGGACTGTCCATCTTTCTGTACAGGGATAACCTAAAACAGCAAGTTGGATATTTCTTAAATTCTACTTCACCAATGGTAATTTTTATAATTTACACACCTATTAATCAGTACAAAGTTACATAACTATTTCTCCCATTTTTATGCCCCGAAGGGTGGCATATTAAAATCGCTATATCCATCTGTCTCTCCGTACAAACATATAGATACTTAGGTGGCTATGGGAACAATAGGTAACAGTAAATTTCTTTTGATTCTTTTCATTCAGTAAGCTCTTATGTGGCTACTTTTTCTCTTATGTGGCCAAAAGAACAATAGAGAGAACGAAAGAGTAGCCACCTAAGTATCAAACTTTGAGCACATCCGTTTGTCTGACAGTCAATAAAAACATAGTGGTAATTGTGTGACTTGGTTACAGTAAATTTTCTTTGATCCTATTCATGTTTTTATTTGTGTGTCTTTTATTTAGGCCTTGTGACTAAAAATGACTAAAAAGATCAAAGGAAATGTCAAATGAGTACCATTTCATAAGTACACCAGTGCATCCCCACTTACACAACATTTGTGTTTGGATTGTAACTTTGTCAAACATTGAGAGATTTTAAAATAACTTGGCAAAAATGTCTACCCATATCAAGACAATAGATGTCTACCATATCAAGACAATATGTCTTGTTAAAAAACCATGTCCCTACCTGAAAGGTCAGGGTCACACAGTTTGAAGACTCACAATCTTACAAGAAGAGTTTGAAGGTACATAAAATGGTGTCCAGACTGTTACTTTGTCATGCATTGAAGGATTTTAGAATAACTTGGCATAAATAACTACCATATCAAGACGATGTGTCACATCGAAAACCCGTGTGCTTACTTGAAAGGTCAATGTAACACTTACATTTCACAGAAGAAAAGTTTGAAAGTAAACACATTAGTGTATGGACTGTAACTTTATCTTACATGGAGGAATCTTAAAATAACTTGGCACTAATGTCAACCACAACAAGACAATTTGTTGCGTTGAAAAATAGCATTCCTACCTCAAAAGTCAAGGTCACACTTATAGTTTGAAGGTTCTCATTCTTACTAGAAGAGTTTTTAAAGGTAGATATTTGTGTCCAAACTGTTACTTTGTCATGCATTGAAGAATTTTAAAATAACTTGGGACAAATAACTACCACATCAAGTCGTGCCTTGGGCCAGTGTCACTACTTTAACTGTCAAGTTCACACTACAGGTTTTAGGTACACATTTGTGTCCAGACTTTAACATTGTCTACCATTGAAGGATTTTAAAATAACTGGGCTCAACTGTCTACCACATCATGCTGATGTGCCAGATCTAAGACCCATGACCTATGTCTAAAGTCAAGGTCACACAGTTTGATGGTTTGACATTCTCACAAGCAGAGTTTAAAGACTGCTATGCACATGGGTTATTATATGTAATGTAATTGACATGCATTATCTGTTGCGTTTGTATGTATGCAAACTGAGAATATGTAAATAAAACTTGGTTCATATAACTTGGTTCGTAAAGGTACACACATTGGAGTCTGAACAGAAACTTTTCATGGATAGTTTCTCATTATAATTTCCTTTTTTGTTAATCCCCTACCGGTTTAACTGGAGGGGACTTTAGGTTTACCCTCTGTCTGTCTGTCTAACTGTCTGTCAGTTTGTCCGTCCACAAAACTGGATCCCGCGATTACGCAAAAAGTATTGAAAATATTTTAATGAAACTTGATATATGAATAAATGGCACTATTGAGATTATGCACGTTTTTTTCTTTTCTCCACACATTCAACTCAAGTTTGATATATAGATACATCTTAGGAATAAGCAGTTCAAGTTTGAATTTGGTCATGGTTCAATGATTTTGGACAAAGTTATGTCTCTTGAATGTTGGAAAAAATTTGAATTTTCAGTTTCAGCACTCATTCTTTTGTTGAAATGTATGTAGCCATTATTTTGGCTACAAATATGCAACATACAATTTACAAAAGGTTAACACTGAATAGTTTCAGTGCCTTGAACTTTGTATTAAAATGGTTTGTGTTAACCTTGAATTGTTTTAAGGGCTTTGAAATTTAAATGAAAAAAATAATTTGTGCAAACAAATTTGGAACTAAATATTATTACATCTGAAATTTTGGCTGCATGTGGGAGCATCCGTGGCGTGACAACACATTTCTAGTTTTTATTTGATTCAAATGACTTAGCTCATCTCACTGAATAACTTTTTTAATTTTAGAACATCAACATTCCTCATATACAAGCTGGTGGTGGAAGGAACAAAGGAGGTAAGTTAAAAAGGAAGTCTTTATCACAGTCCTTTCAAGTATGGTCAAAAGTGATCAATAAACATAATGTTCGTAACCTTCAACCAAATTCAGATTTTGGGGCAGCTTGTCTGTTAGCTAATATTAAAAATAGCAAAGTAAACAGAAAGCGTCTACAGACTTTCTATTTGAGAAATAATAACCCTATGAAGAAGTCCAATTCCAACTTAACAAGCCTGCAGAGTTTAAATTCTGAATCAGAAATGTCCCCACCTCACTTGAAAAGTTTAATTCTGAATTCAGATATATCCATGCCCCATATGACTAGTCAACAAAATTTAAGTAATTCTAATTTAGATGCATCCATAAATAGCACTGAATTGCCAAATGATATAAGTTTATTGTCTATAAAGCGTGTGAGAAAAGGGAGAGTCCAGAAGAAAAAAACATGTGGTGTAAAAAAATGCCAACAAATTACTGTTTACTGTGTTTGTAAAAAAATGTGGTCTGAAGACCAGTCACCCATGGTTGAATGTGAAGTATGCAGACAATGGTACCACTACAAATGTGTTATTGCTTCTAAATTTAAAATAAATGAATCTTTCTTTGACAACAAACATATCAAATTTATTTGTGGGTTGAAAGGTTGTCAATTTTCATCTGGTTTTCTTTCAGTAAAAGGTAAAAGTTATAAACTTAAAAATTGTTTTGCTTGTAATGAAAATGTTGAGAAGTTATGTGAGGTTTCAAATAATGATTCTTGTAGGATGTCTAGCGCCAATGTTGACAATTTGATTAAAGACCAAATGTCTCCTTTAAATACAAATGACAATGAATCTGTTGTATCTAATGCACAATGTCCCAACTCCATAACTCGTACAAATGATGAAAATGAAACCTATGATTCCTTAACATGTCCATTGTCTTCAAAGCAACCTTCACCACCTACTGATACACATTTATCTAGCACATTTGTTAACAACTTGATTGAAAGTTCAGAAGACAATGAATCTGTATTATCTAATGCACAATGTCCCACCTCCATAACTCGTACAAATGATGAAGATGAAACCTATGATTCCATAACATGTCCATTGTCTTCAAAGCAACCTTCACCACCTACTGATACACATTTATCTAGCACATTTGTTAACAACTTGATTGAAAGTTCAGAAGACAATGAATCTGTTGTATCTAATGCACAATGTCCCAACTCCATAACTCGTACAAATGATGAAGATGAAACCTATGATTCCTTAACATGTCCATTGTCTTCAAAGCAACCTTCACCACCTACTGATACACATTTATCTAGCACATTTGTTAACAACTTGATTGAAAGTTCAGAAGACAATGAATCTGTTGTATCTAATGCACAATGTCCCACCTCCATAACTCGTACAAATGATGAAGATGAAACCTATGATTCCTTAACATGTCCATTGTCTTCAAAGCAACCTTCACCACCTACTGATACACATTTATCTAGCACATTTGTTAACAACTTGATTGAAAGTTCAGAAGACAATGAATCTGTTGTATCTAATGCACAATGTCCCAACTCCATAACTCGTACAAATGATGAAGATGAAACCTATGATTCCTTAACATGTCCATTGTCTTAAAAGCAACCTTCACCACCTACTGATACACATTTATCTAGCACATTTGTTAACAACTTGATTGAAAGTTCAGAAGACAATGAATCTGTTGTATCTAATGCACAATGTCCCAACTCCATAACTCGTACAAATGATGAAGATGAAACCTATGATTCCTTAACATGTCCATTGTCTTCAAAGCAACCTTCACCACCTACTGATACACATTTATCTAGCACATTTGTTAACAACTTGATTGAAAGTTCAGATGACAATGAATCTTGTATCAATATGCCTTCTGACCATAATTATTCATGCGATAAACCTATTTTTGAAACTAAAAGTTCTTTGTCTAAAAAGAATTCTTTTAAAAATAAGATGGGGTTTAATAAATTCAAAAGTATTTTTAAGGCGTTTAAGTCACTATTTTCAGAAGTACTTAATTTTTCCTTTGATAATACCCCTTCATCTATCAAAAAATATCATTGTTTGTATAGCTCACTACTGAAATGTAAAAAAAATTTAAAGTCGATAACAATTCCGGAAACAGATGACAAATTTTCATTATACAAGACATTATGTGAACTTATGTCTACAACTTTTGAAACACTTGATCAGAAAAAAAAATCTAACATAATTACTGAAAATACTGAAAATAATGACAACCTTTCTAATGAAGCATTATCTGAAATTCTTGGGGTACACATTCCTGACAAGTTTTTTACATATACCTTGCCAAATACTGTTTTCACAGAAGAGTTTGATATCAAGACTTGGGAAAATTTATAATTAGAACAAAATGGCAGGTATTTTAAAAGGCATTCTTGGGAGCCATTTTTTATTAATATTATTAAAAAGTCTAATCCATATTGTGTATTTATTTTTAATTATCATAGAGTGTCAGTAGCTAATAAACAACTTCGAAAAGCAGATAAACCATTATTTAGTGCTAAAGGGAAGTGTAAGTTTCAAGATTGCACTTGCACTGTTGTAATTAAAATGTTTGATGTACATTTAGTGAATCTAATATATTCAGGAAAAATTAAGCATGACATAACTGAAAGTCATTATAGACATATCACAGGTTCCATGAGAAAATCTTTAAAAAACAAGTTTAGACATGGTGCAAAACCTCTCTCAGTGTTTTTAGAAAAATTTGATAAAATCCCACCAAAAGAACTTTTAGCTGGTAATTTTGACGATACAAGTATTGACTCTAAGAAATTTTCCCAAATAGCTACCGAGTCACGTCAATTAGGCAGATATGATTTTGAACTCTATAAAAGTTTACTCTATCAACAGGAGGACATGTATAAACATCACCCTGGTGGCTTTATTCAAAAAGTGTCAATTTCTCCAATGTATATTCTTTATTGGAGTTCTTTTGGTTTACAATTTTATAATAGTCTTTCTGCTTCTAAAACACTATTTTGGGATGCAACAGGTGGTGTGATCAGAAAATCAGAATTTGGTAAAACATTCCTTTATTATGAATTAGCTTTATGCCACCCAGTAAAGGGTAAAATGGGTATTCCTATTACTTCAATGATTACTGAATCTCAAAGTCTTCCTGTTGTTTTAGACTGGATTAGAAATTTTAGACATGCAGAGAAGAAGAAATTTGGATATTCAAGGATTGTTAAACACCCGAAATTAATTATTAGTGATCAGTCTATGGTATTTATTTTAGCAGCACTTAAGGAATTTAATGATGAAGATATTGAAAGTTTTTTGACTCGAGCTTGGAATATATTAAATGGTACAGCTTCACTGCAAGATACAAAAAAAACATTGGTACATTTGTGCAGAAGCCACTTTTTGAATTCTGTTAAAAGATATCTTAAAAAAAAAGAAGTTTCTTTAACAAAAATAAGTTTTTGTCTTTACATAATTGGACTTTTCATGAAATGTGAAAATTTAAAAGAATTTAAAGAGCTGTTGTTGGACAGTTTTATAACACTAACTTCAAAATTTATAAGTGATAGAAATAGGAAGAATGTTGAAAGATTGGTGAAAAAAGTTAATTTATTTCAGACCTGTTGTGACACTCAAAATTTAGATTATGATATTAATAATTTAAATAAAGATATGCTAGAGAGTAAAGAAATAAACCCCAATATGTTTACAGAGGAGGATTATCAGATTATTGGATCCCCTTCCCCATTTAAAAGTATAGCAGAAAAAATCTTCACATTGTCCACAGAACTTTGTGTTGATTGTGAAACTGAAAATGTTATTATAAATAAATATTTTTGTGATGTATTCAAGGATTATTTTTTGAAAAATTCAGTTCCTATTTTTCCTCTTTGGTCATCAATTTTAATGGGAGATTTAACTAAATTTAACAAAAATTACTCAAGCACATCAGCAGATATAAACTCTTCTACAGAAACTAATAGTACTATTGAGAATAGGTTTAGAATTTTGAAACATATTTATTTAAATAACAGATCCCAACATCGAATTGATGAATTTTCTGAACAATTAAAGATGCATACTTTGTCGATACAAAAACTCGCAGCTGTCAACTGCCTTAAAACTAAAGTAGTTCCTAAAAGAAAGCGAAAGAATAAATCAGAAGAAAAAATTGAATTGCCTCACATTTCTGAGAAGTTTACAAAGCGTAATACTAGACTAATTAAAGAAGAATGGAATAAATCTAAAAAACAGCCAGAAAACATTGATGTTAAAAACAAAACAGGAAAATATTCAAAAGCTCCAAAAAAGGCATGGCAAATAGATAGCTCTAGTTATTATTGTAATTCTAAAAAAAAGGATAACAAAATTGTAGCAGAAAAATTGAAAAATAGGTCAACTCCTTTAAATGCTAAAAATTTAAAAATTAGAGACATTTGTCCAATGAATAACTTTGGTTCTACTTGTTGGTTCAATTCTGTTATACAAGCTTTTTGTAACAGTCAGTTTTCAGATAATGCCATTGAATATTTTGTAAACTTGAATGTTGTTGAAATTGATTCAGAGGACATCTCAATTTGTATAAAGTCATTTGTGGATATATGGAAGTATATGAAGTCTGATGATGGCAGAGGTAAAACAGTCCCAAATAATCTTCTTTTGTCAGCATTAAGAAAAATTGGTTGTGTACTCCCTTCTTTTTCATATAATTATCAGCAGGATGCTCATGAAATTGTTAGTACAATATTTTCTGAGATAGCAAATATGTTATTTGACAATACCCAAATACACTATTCCAAAATTTGTACTGTTTGTCAACATACAATTGATCAAAATTTAAAAGAAGGTAATTGTATTGTCTTAAATGTACATTCTGGTGTAACGAATGTTTCATTACAAACATTAATTGATAATTATTTTCTGCAACCAGACAGTGTTAAGTGTAACTGCTCCATCTGCTGCTCAGAAACTATCCATACAGTTACTAAAGAAATAAATTGCTTT